TCAGTAACTTCCCAAGGGCTCGTCCCCTTCACTGTCCCCCTCACTCCACTCACCAATTATTTGCCTGTAAGTTGTGAACGCATCTCTCCTCACCACTATCAACACACTTGGTGATGAAGATCAAGGATTGTAGCTTTCAGTATGGATTACAACTCAGTGTAAAAAAGACCAGAATCCTCACAACTGGACCAATAGGTAACATCATGAGAAATAGAAAAAAGGTTGAACTTGTCAAGAATCCACAATCAGTGCTCCTGGAAACAGCAATCAAGAGCTCAAACCACACATTGCATTGGATAAATCTGCTGCACAGGACCTCTTTAGTGTATTGAAAAGCAAAGAGATTACTTTGAGGACTAAGGTGAGCCTGACCCAAGCCATGGTATTTTCAATTGCCTCATATGCCTATGAAAGTTGAACATTGAATAAGGAAGATTAAAAAAGAATTAATGCATTTGCATTGTGGTACTGGTAAAGAATTTTAATAGTTGCATGGACAAACAAACCTATCTTGGAAGAAGTACATCCAGAGTGCTCCTTAGAGGCAAGGATGGCAAGACTTCGTCTGACATACTTTAGAAATATTGTCAATATAGACCAGTCCCTGGAGAAGGACATCGTGCTTGGTAAAGTAGAGGGTTAGTGAAAAAGATGAAAGCTCTAAACAAGATGGATTGACACAATGTCTGCCACAGTGGGTTCAAGCATGGGATCAATTGTGAGGATGGTGCAGGACCGGGCAGTGTTTTATTCTGTTGTGCATAGGGTGGCTGTGAGTCAGAACTCTCGATAGAAACACCACCACATTATTCCAATTACTCCATCTTGGTCATTGATGCAGTTCAGGATCCATTCTCTTTAAGGGGTTTCTTTTATTGAATGCACACTGATGATTCCCTTTTCCAAATTCTCAACTACATCATACAGTTACATGCGTACTTGCTTGTTTGGTTACATCGTGCTTTCAAATACTGATTAAGATGTGTTTGTCTTATGCTAGTTAAAAAGCATTAAAAAGTTCTTAGAAAAATATCTTACACCTCTGCAATTAGACTCTATGACTTACCATTATATTAAGTGTGATGAATTATGGGAAGTATAATCTTTGTATACTCTTGATTCAAAATCTGATATCAAACTGTTGTCCTTCAAATTTTTAGCTTAATTGTAAGCTGCATTTACTCATAACTTGGCATAACCCTATGGTTTTCATTAATAAAGATCAAATAGAAAAGTATTTTAATTTAGGTGTAAATTTAATTTTAATTTAGAAGCAATGTTTTACTTCATTTCAGGTTAATTTTTTTGAAGCCTTATTTGAATGGCTAGGTCAGTTTTCAGTCTAAATTGTTTATACTTTTTCATTTCCTAGAACTAGCTGTGTTTTTTGCTAATTTTAGATCATTTCATTTGGCCTGCTAGCCTCGTTATTTCTGAAGCTTTCAAGGATTATTTAGAGACTTTGTGACATTCTGCACCTGTAAAGATGGACAGCTTCAGAACCCTGTGAGTCTGAAGTGAATGGGTAGCAGAGTGTTTAGTTTGCTTATGGTTTAGTCTTCTTAAAGGAAAAGGCTCAAATATTTTCATTTATTATGAAAAATAAACAACTTCGGCTTCACCATATCTGTTACACAGATAATAAGCCTCTTCTACCACTCCCTCTTTCCCGGGAGGAATTTTTGTAAAAACTATGCTAATTTATTATTATTGTTTTAGGTAATGTGTTTTCCTGGTTATCATCCCTGGAACTTCAAAATGTTTTGTAGGGATTTTTTTTTAAAGAATATTTGAATATGGCTTGTTAGGAAAATACCTCTGGGGGTGGGACTGGGGGGTGGGTGAGAGGGAGCTGGTAGCAAACAAGTGAAGAAGAAGCATGTTGTTTGTGTAAAAATACAGTCAGCTAAGTTGCGGGTAAGTCGACTGACTGTTGTTAAACTTTACTACTAAAATCTAGAAAGAAGGAAAGTTTCTTTCCTTTAGTGTAATTGAAGTCAGAGAAGTCCAGCTTGTCTAGCTAACCTTGAAATGGAAAGGAAATTAACAGTGCAAGTAAATGACTTGTTTCTATTGACCATTGAACTCATGAAGATTATATTTTCTTTTAGTCAGTTTTTTAACATTAGCATGGCTTTTTAATTTTGTCCTTTAAAATAAATTTTCCTCATTATATATGGGGTTCTGTGTTTCTGTTAGGGTTAATGGAAACATTTAGAAACAGATAAGTGGTTGTGGTTGTACAACATGGTGAAACTAATAATAGAAGGTGTTTAAATGGGGGGGGGGATAGGTAGTGGTGTTAACAAACCCTGGGACAAGGGAACAACAAGTGATCCAAATCGATGGCGAAGAGGGTGTAAGAGGCCTGGTAGGGTGTGACCAAGGGTAATGTAACCGAGAGGAATTACTGAAACCCTAATGAAGACTGAACAGGATAGTGGGACAAGAGGAAAGTAAAAGGAAAGAGAGGAAAGAGCTAGGAGATAAAGGGTATTTATAGAGGTCTAAATAAAGGCATGTACATATGTAAATATGTTTATATATGAGGATGTGGAAATAGATCTATGTGCAAATCTGTATAGGTTCAATATTAAGGTAGCAGATGGACATTGGACCTCCACTCAAGTACTCCTTCAATGCAAGAATACTTTGTTCTATTAAACTGACATTCCATGATGCTCACCTTCCCGACACAATTGCTGAAGACAAAGTGTGTGCATAAGCAAATGTAGTGAAGAAAGCTGATGGTGCCCAGCTATCAAAAGATATAGCATCTGAGGTCTTAAAGG